GGTGGCATTTTAACTGAAAAGGATGTCCTCAACCCCCCCTGTGCGGATAATAAATGCAATCTGCCATTGTAAATCATGGCGAATTTTCGTACTGTTCGTGGCAACAAAGCTACTGATTTGGATGGACGTGACAATCTTTATGTACATTGTGTGTCGAAAGAGCGACTGGAGCTGCTTCGTGAAGGGATGTCGAACTTCTAGTTTTATGGGTAACGACAACATTTGGCGTAAAAGTTGACTTATTATATGTTTGCCGAATGCGATAGTCCTTCATTGATAGAAATCTATTCTAGTTGTGACCTTAAGGTACGATTATTTTATGATTTAATTGGTGGGAAAATGGGCCATTTATACTCGGAAATCATACAAGACTACAAGTATTTGAATGTCAAATGAGTCAAATCTATTTTAATATCATAAAAGCAGGGAGGAGGGGCAAGGCGGGCAGAAGTGCACTTTGTGTTATAGAAATTCTGCCTGCTAAATCTTATCTCCAGTTTTGGGCAAAGTCATGAGGTGTGAACTTGAATGTGACCTGATTAAGTGTGTTTGTGCAGTTATAGTTCCTTGAGTAGACTTTATTTCCAGAACACAGAACAGCTATTGTCAATGGAACATGCACAATCAGGCTTTCATTGGCAAGTCAACACATAATTGTGGGTCTATAAAGGTGCCCTTGCCTTTTTATTGTTCCAACGTCTCTGTATAAATGCATCAAATCTTTTTTTACCTGTAGTACTTATGTTGTGTTCTGTTGTGGGAGTTTAACATTATTCCATCACCAACTTCTGTAACAATCAGACCACACAAGCTGGATATTTTAGAGGATATTATACTGAATGACCTACCACTGCTGAATTTAGATGAGCCATTGTTATGCAATTGCATTAAACAGCCATTAAATCCTATGTGTTTAGTTAAAATTCATGATGAAGAGATGCCTGGTGATGTGGAAAGTATTGGTGCAGAAGGTGGAGTTGCAGACATGGACAAGATTGATGAAATTCAGCAGTTGACCCAATTATTGGGTGTGGAACAGGCTACTGATGATGCTAAATACATGAATGATTCAAGCTCTGATTAGGAGGATGGAGACAAGGATTCTGAAGGACAAGGATTGTGGAGCAGACACGTTGTATCCTGAGAATTAAGACAAGGATTATGGAGGACCAACTTGTGATAATCATGTGTAGATGATAAAAAATCTCAAGTTGAAATTTAAAGTAGAGCATGAGCAAGACATTTTTAGTTGAGATTTTCATATAAATTTATTCCTATTAAAACACTGTTATTATTTCAGGTAAATATCCAGGTAATCTCGTGTTCGTATTTTAGCCAATCAGCGCTCAGAAAGGGTTGTCCGAATAGAAATCCATTTTGATGTATTCAGTCAATTATATCTTTCGTTATTCTTTATGAAACTAGTTGAAATTTTGCAATTATGTTTGCTTATGAGAACTATAGCTCTGACAAAAATATGGAATCGAAATAAAGTATATTACAGGAGATATTCAGTTGTTTTAATCATAACATGGATTTCTATTTGACAACTAGTGCCAGTACTTTTCCGCGTATCAAGATCATCTGGATTTGATATTAGTATTTTTGCACAAGTGAACATAACAAATGCTACAAGGTGATTGGTCAAATTTGACGTATTAATCTGTTATATTATAACAAAATCAAAATTTTCAAAATGGCGGCTAGCTGTTTTGTTGAAGTTAGTAATAAAGAAATAAGCGAAATTAAAATGAATTCAGACCAGAAAAATACAAAAACTTGTGCAAAAATACTAAAACAATTATTCGCCTCAGGCTCTGTGATTATCTGGGAATATTAACCTCGGCAAATATTCCCCGATAATCACCTCGCCTTCGGTGAATAATTGTTAAATATAATTTTACCATTCCTTTTTCAAATAAATAAATGTTTTCAAACTCAATTTCCTGTGTTTGTTTACTGCAGTCATTGTGCATGTGTTCTTAACACTGTTTTAACAGCTGTATATTTAGCACAGATGGATCACTGATCTAAATATGGATCCAGTATGATGTGGTAGGGAGGGTGCTCTGCCAGCTCTGGTGCCGAGTTGTGTCAGTCATGTGCGCCACCCACCTATCAACTTACTTGACTACAGCAAAGTCTTGCTTGACTACTGTATTGTAATTGTTGTTAACAAACAGTTTACTTATCATCATGTTATTACTCAAATTACTCATTTTGTCTCTAATATTTTTTGCTTTATCATGAAAATACCCCCCCCCCTGCATACCCTCTGGCCAGGGCTAGGTGGGGGGTGGTCATATAAATGCAGTGGTCATACATAATTGATGTTAATAAAATGCTTTATTCAAAGTTACAATATATAAAGTAAATACTTAAGATTCATTGCAACATTTTCATGTCACCAATACACCAGTATTTACATGTAAAATGTCTACTAAAATATGTATCTATTAAAAGGCTGGTATGGGCAAATTTATATAACAGGTTGCTCTTATTATTCTGGTTCGATAGTTTCATTGCTTGAATCAGTTGAATGGATCATGAGCACAACTTGGCTGGATTAGATGTTATACCATTTGCCAAAGCAGGATGTAGGAACAGTTTGCTGAATAACAGTTCTAAATCAGCATTAAATTCATAAGTTCAACTTTTCCCATACTAAGGATCAACAATATAAACAACATTGCCATCATCAGATTCCATTTTCACAAAAATTATATATTCGAATTCTATAAAAATATTAAATGGTAAAATACAGTGTATTTAACTTAAATGCAGCAGTTAAACTCAACAACGATCGACATATATGCACATGCTTCGAAATAAAACAAAAATAATAACTACTCGTACAGTAATTTTCCTCGCGCCATAATTCCCATGCGGTTGATTATTCCCGCGATGGGCGACAAAGTATACCGAAAATGCCCCATTTTCAAACCGCGATTACTCGTCAGTTTGATGGGGACAATTCATTTTTTAAACTTCTCATAGAAAGAACAACTCTTCCTGAATACGGTGGCGTGTCTTTTATTTAATTTATTCATTTATAAACCCAATTGTCCCCAGCGGTTTTGAAAGCCACTTTTGACACTTGTGCATTGACCCGGAAAACAGGTCAATCCAAATTGCGATTAACATATAACTAATAGTTGTTAAAACACCAAATAAAGCAAAAATCGTTAATTTGACTCATATTTAAAACAATTATAAAAACTTACCTTCAAAAATACGAACTTTTCGTGGCGAAATATCGAAATAAATATCCACAACTTTTCCAACTAACATTGTGAAAAATCATGATTGTGAATATTAATGAGTTGCAATGCATGCTGGGAAGAGCTTCCACCCTCCTCTGCCCCCGACCCTAGTAAACAATACGCCATTTTACGCAAAATCCGCGGGTCACGTGACCAGCCCATACCAGGGTATTTCGCTTTCCAAGAGCAAATACCTGGGTACGAGGTTGACCGTATAGTCGTCTGTAATCACTGTATTTTATAACTACCCGTTGAAGGCTGCAGTCTGGCAACCGAAAGCTCGTGAATAAAAAATTTTCAACCAGAGAACGTCTCAAAAATCATTAAAATTTGCTTTGTTTACAAAAGTTATATTATGCATAGATTGCTAATTTGTCCTCCAGATGCATCATCACCGGCGCTGTGACGTCATGTGCAATGGGTCTATTGAAAGCATGGCTGACAAACTGCTAAAACGACGCGATAAAAGCTGGATAAAAAGCTTTTAGTTTCATTGCAATAGATGCTTTTCTACTCAACAAGAAAACAGAAGGTAAACTAAGTAAATTATTTATTTTCTGGATCGTTTTACAGCATGGACATGCATGAAAAATGCTTTTTGACGGAAAAATACAAATTTTAGTTGCCGAAAAACAATTCGTTCATAACAACATTTATAAAAACAATCTTGACCGAAATAAGCTCAGGAATGGTCTTTAAACTGCCATTTAAGGTATTTTTTTAAATTAATTAATTAATTAAATTTAATGTTTAAATTAAGGACAAGTTGTACGTTGTACTATTTAGATTTATACGTATTTTTTCGAAGAATAGCTGAATATATGTGGAAAATTTGAATCAAAACATGTAGCACTGGCCAGTGTTTTCGATGTTTATATTTGTTTTTTCGCAGTTTGGTCGGAGAAGAGTACATTTCGGGCTTTGGGTAGTGTTTTGAGTTTGAAAATTGTCTTCACTCCTCGGTTTGTCGCTAAAAAAGAACTCTTTTGACCACGGTCAAGATATCGTAAAAAGCTGCCCGCTGCTGCAGCCAATCAAATTGCAGGAAATAAAAAATATCACTAGGCATGCACAAATAAAAAATAAATATATTTATTATATGGCAAGCATTTGTTTTGATGAATCGCGCAATTTGATTGGCTGCTGACGAGGCAGGATTTTCCCGTATTGCCACAGAATAGGAAGTTATACCAGAAGCGTAACTCTAGTCGTTTCCCTTAATGTTTGACGTCCACGAAAATTTTAACTCGCTCACGTCAGGCCACGCCATCCTGGCTAGTACAGCCGGAAGTTTTTATCAGGATTTGGTAGGTACAAAGTGCTGGTTGTACTAGCCAGGATGGCGTGATTGATGACGTGATTGATGACGAATCGCTTGTAAAAACGCGGACAAATATTTGCTCGAGTTACGCTTCTGGGGCCGGTTGCTCTCTCCTCCGCAGAGGCTTTAGTTTTCTTAGGATGAGTATTACGATGAGATACATTTCACTACACTTTACATGGCGGATCTTGAAACACGAGCGTAGCCGCTGGGCGAAGGAGCGCAGGCGGCAAAGGGTAAAGCCTCTGCGGAGGAGAGAGGGCCGGTTGTATCAAGCCCGTTTAGCTTAAACAGTGGTTAAGCTCAAAATAGAAAGCAAGTCTATAGATTCATTCAACAACCAAACTAAACGTTTTGAACTTTAATAGAACGATAATGTTTGCAACTACATATTCAGTGCAGAATATTTAAGTTGACTGATTCACGAGAGAGAAAAGAGTGTTATTTTATTTTGACTTATCCACCGTTTAAGCTAAACGGGCTTGATACAACCGGCCCCTGGTATAACTTCCTATTCTGTGGTATTGCCCACGGGCAATACGCAATTTTTTTGACCTGCGACAAGAGCCGAGTTTCAAACGGCAAAAAGTGTCTAAAAGTCTTTCAAAACTATTCAAAACGAAGAAAAATAAACCTAAACTAAAGAAAAGGAGCACCTTCTTTGGTTAAAGAACTTTCTCAATATGTTTTTGTTAGCGAAAGTCGAAATTACAAGGTAAATTTTACAATGTTTATAACTATTAAAGAAGTCAGGAATAGCTGTGTTTTGACTTTGTGAAGAGCTGCAAATCTTGGTAAATTTTACACTGTTTATAATAACTATTAAAGAAGTCAGGAATAGCTGTGTTTTGACTTTGTGAAGAGCTGCAAATCTTATTTGCAGATAGCCGAGGAATTTGACACCATCCTAAATAAAAAATACAACTAAAGCAGCCACAGATTTATATTTTTCCCTGAAAATTTCTGGGTTTTTTCGATAAAAAGAGATCTATTTATGAGATGAAGCGAACTAAAAACGTCCTTGTCCATACTGTCTATTAATTTTATTGTTTCCGTATTTGTTGTCTTTGTCTTTGATTAAATGACGAAATATACCTCGTATTTTTCTTGAAATACTATGCAAATGTGTTAGTATTCTATATAAAAAGTGCTGTGGAGTAGTTTTACTGACCAAGCTTGAGAACATTTTTTACACTTGTTCTTTTTTGCAAATGTTTCGGACTTTGTACTTTGCCCTCGCGTGACCTTTTTTCCCCATTTTTTTACAAACGTACAATGCCATATAATAAAAAACTTACTGACCTTAACCGTTCGGGCAGTACGGGAAAATATCCAACCTCGGTCTTGCTGTATTGACCTCGCTATCGCTCGGTCAATACAGCAAGACCTCGGTTGGATATTTTCCCGTACTGCCCTCACTCTCGGTCAGTAAGTTATTAGTATTTGCGTTCGATTATTCCATATTCAAAAAAATCTGACTGGTAAACTGTGGAGAGGATGATTGGAGTGACATTTGACACATTTGACGTGCATAATTCGAAATTCTCAAGAATAGTTAGTTTACATAGTCATAGATATTAATGAATAATGTGATTCATTTATGAGACCAGTCTGTTTTCATTTACGAAATGTCAGCGAGTGCTCATTAATACCATAAACATGATTTTTTTCTGTGTCGGTGTAATGTACTCAGGTGAATATGATGCTTGTGATGTTACTCTGAGTGTATATATATCCACACCGGGCAAGCTTGAAAAATATGCCTGACCACGGTGGGAATCGAACCTACGACCTTTGGAATACTAGCCCAATGCTCTGCCAAATGAGCTACGTGGTCTGGTCTGGTCGGTTCGAGTATGTGATATTTCGGAGCAGAATCTAGTTCCTTCGATATAGCATTGATATCGAAGGAACTAGATTCTGTTCCGAAATATCACATACTCGAACCTACCATACCACGTAGCTCAGTTGGCAGAGCATTGGGCTAGTATTCCAAAGGTCGTAGGTTCGATTCCCACCGTGGTCAGGCATATTTTTCAAGCTTGCCCGGTGTGGATATATATACACTCAGAGTAACATCACAAGCATAATACCATAAAGGTAGAGAATATATTATTCAGGTCTTGCCGCCACCTGAGTTTATTACATCATGCTAAATGAACTGGCAGTGGCAGAAATGCATATCTGAATTCGCCAATAAATGAACCATAGTAATGTCCGATAGCAGTCTTTGACGACTAAATGACGACATCTTTAATAGTTTCAAATATTTGCCACACAAAATAGCGGAAATCAAACTGTTAACGTTATTATATTATATGTTGTGACGTTATTTGCAAGGGCAGAGTTGGCGCACTGCAGTGCGAGAAACAAACATTTGCGACGAACTGAAAGAGCTCGTTTACACTACCGAGCAATGATAAATTTAATACTGGTGCCAATTTAATCTGTAGCGTGCTTTGCATTGAGCGTAGTAAACCGACCTAAATATTTAAGATAAGCATACCTCTGATACGTTATATTTTTAGGAATATTCCTAGAACAATACTTGATTCTCAACCGAGAGGATTCCTCTATACCACGTCCATTTGTACACATTTATCCTCACACTCAAGTTAAATTGTTCTTATGTACCACCATGTACCGCGAAGATCCCAAGATAATGGCCCACTATCTGAATTGTTTGTCTCGTATTAACGCACCTAACCAGAAGTACGACAGTATTGAAACTCATATTGTCATGGATGATGCCTTCACAGTGTCAGGGTCATTAAATACGCATGCGAAATGTTTTATTGATCTTTGTAAAGAAATTTTAAATAATGCTACTATGACACAAGAGATAAGAATGGCATATGGAAGTGAAATATTGGTAACACTGGACGATGGAATGCTTGTTTATCTGCATTTTAAAAATTCTCTCAAGGTAAAAACTGGAGACATGTAAGGATTTTCGTTATTATTTAAATGCCGAGTTTCGAGGAATCTTTCGTACAATTTGCAATGCAATTTCATTCTGAAAATAACGAAAGATTTTTGCTAGTTACAGGTTAGTCTGTTTCATGATTGATCGATTTTCCAAAAAAGTGCAAGGAACGTTGGTAGAGGAGTTAAACGCTGCAACTTGTCAGGCATCATTGCGAAAAGTGGTAGCAGGTTCAACGTTCTCTGCAATTCACAACGCAATTTTTCGAGTGTTACACGAGGCAATGTTGCAACATTCAATGCACCGCCGTTGTGTAAAGGCCATGGTACAGTACATGAGGCAATTGGTACAGTACATGAGGCAATTGGTGCAGTGCTGTAATGAACGTAATTTCACGTACAGAGGTATCTATGCATGGCTAACAGTTTACTCTGGCGACATTTTTCATCCCATTGATTTCATTGGGCGTCACGTAAGTAAAGAAAGTGTCGGCAAAGTGAAATGCGGGCCATACTACATGCTCACAATATCCCTGCGAGTACTTTTTAGATAACATGGCTCTCATGAGTCATGTAATCGAAGTTGCGTTGCAAGTTGCAGCAAAAATTGGAGTATAACATGGCCTTATAAGCATGTAATCTGCAGATGGTGGTGTACTTAATAGTACATTTGTACATCAGTGGGAATTATTTATTGAATGAATGTAGAATGAGTAATATTTCTTCACCATCATCGCTTATTGCTGTGATTAACTATGACTTCTTCACACACCAGGTGAAACAAGGTAAAAGATGGAGTCAAATGATGATAATGTCATGGATAATTGACACGAAAAGAGATTCAGTTCACGGTTTGTGTAATAGTTCCATTTTCTTCCCTTTATACAATACTCTTTACTTTCCGATTAATTCAGTAAAAATTTCAGGCCAGATCCAGTATTCATTTTACTTTTCGTTTTATTAATCATCGTATTACAAAATCGGAACTTTTTTCAAGAGCATTCTCAAAGCAAAGTTTTACTGCTCGAGTGAACAGCGGAAACAAACATTTTTAAAACACTGATGGCATGACGATTTCAGTTCGTTCTCGCTGGGGCAGCCTTGTTTCTGGTTAGCAATTCAAGTGGGACTGTGTTTCCTTGCAAAGTCTGTTTTATTCTATGCTATTTTAATTGAAGTAATTCCTGGAAAAATACTGTCATGGCAAGTAACAAGACACAAGAATAGCGGACATCAAGATATGGTCTGGAAACAGGGCCAAATTCTTTGTTCTCTATTTTTGTTCATGGTTATGTAAACTTGTGAACATTTTCCCCTCACCGCTAATTTCTACTCCACTAGTGTTGGTTGCATATTGACATATTCAATTACTGTGGCTCACAATGTCCTTTATTGCTCTTTACGTTTGTGCACGTGTATAAATAAGCGCTTACGTAAGACAGGTACAGATCTCGTCATCTCTACATGGCATACCAGAGATGACATCATACTGTCACATTTGTTTTAAATGTGTACCATGATTTTAATTTTAAATGATATAAGAAAGTGAAAAATCCAGTTCTAAGTTAATTGTGCATGATATATAATGATATGTGATAGTACATAGTATAATATCATTTTAGTCAATATACTCGATTCTGATTGGTTAAAAACTGTGCCGATGTTTAATTAAATGCGAGCCCGCGTGCATTCCGTACGCTCACGTTAGTGCAGAAATTTAAATACAAAATCTAAATAAACAACGTGAAGATTTATGTTTTCTGAGCTTTAATTTTGCAATGAGCTCTTGAACAGAAGAGAATGAAATCAAAATTATTCACAGTTTTTAGAGGGATGAATTAAAAATCAATGTCAGAAAATTGCTCTTAAAATTGATCACAAAGGCGCGTATGGCTGTGCTCGCTGGAATACATTTAATACAATATGTCATGTCATTGATTGCTCGTAAAAGTTGACTATAAAATGATATTAATAAATAGGAAATTACTAATTTCCATTTACAGTCCTTTGTTCTCTCTTATTGAGATTGGTATACAACTGTCATAAATTGAATGCTGTAAAGTGTGGGGAAGGGAAGTATATTTAGGATTTAGGGTTTATACCAGTAATTTACCATTTTCAACCTTCGTTAATAGATCCTGCAAATGCGTACTTCCTGACATGTGACATGGATGTTTCCTTCTCGTATTCTTCGATTGAAAGATTACTGGATTTTATGTTACGTAAACCTTCTGTTGGTGGTGCTACGTGTCGTGTGTTTGCGGAGGGGTCTGGACCTGTCGTCTGGTATCAAATGTATGAATACGCTATATGGCATTGGTTGATCAAGGTACAGTATACGTAGTTTATTGTTTTAGTTTCAGATGCAACCTTCAACATTTAATTTTTCCTAAAACAGTACTTCTCTAATTTTTTCAAAAACGTACAGTACTTCAGCTTACTTCAGCTTACTTCATTACTTCGTTTTTTTTTCAAAAACGTACAGTACTTCTTCTTTACGTACAGTACTTCTCTAAGTCTTGACCAAATACGAAGGAAATGTGATGTCTGAAGCTCCGATTTGAAAACAAAACGTTGAGAATAATAACAAGTTTTAAAAAATCAAGATGGCGAAATGCACAATGATTTTATATGGAATGAAGTGAAATATTTTTATGCTGAAATTGTCTTACAGAAAATCTATCAAAGATTTTCGCAATATAATGACTGTTTTATCTTAATTTTTATTACTATTTATTTGTTTTGTTTGTGCAGGCAGCAAACAGTGTGATTGGTTCACTCCTGTACTGCACTGGCTGTTTTAGTGTTTTTCGTCTTAAAGCTTTGTCTCAAGTAATTCCAGTCTTTTCAAGAGAAACAGAGAATGGAGCGGACTACATCAGAAAAGACTTAGGTATGTTTCCAATATAAAAATGGTGCAGCGCGATGAAAAAGCGATTTAATCCACGTTTTAATTTGTAGTGCGATTTACCAAACCAAAAATATGTAATATTTTCTATCTAAGAAAGATAAAAAACTTATCCAGACTTAAAACGAACTATACTTAAAACTTCCGGACTTATCCCGAAGTAAATTAGTTTATATTGTATCTTGTTTTCTTTAAATAACTCAAATTTTTTCTATATTTCTTAAAATTGTCTGCTGGTAAAGGATTTCTTCTAAGTACAGTATACGTAGCTTGCATAATTATATACAGTTTGAGATTATATACAGTGCGTTTAAGACGTTCGCATGAGTGAAGACGTTAAACACCTTTTGCACCTTTCGTGCTCCATATATTCTATGTTAATTATTAGTAGTCAAGACGGTAGCATGCAGAGTTTGTTTTCCAACTTAACTGTGTCTATGGTATTTTATAGGAGAAGACCGCTGGCTTAGTTGTTTGTTGTTAAAAGCAGGCTGGTTGTTGGACTACTGTTCCTTGGCTGAAGTTTCAGTTTTATGCCCTGAAACATTTGATGGTTTCTTTCAACAACGGCGATACTGGATTATGTCAACTTTTGCCAACACTTGTTCTTTGATCAAAGATTTCTGGAATATTCGACATTTTAATTATAAATTATCTGTGTTCTATTTCGCTTATCTCATTATGACTGTATTTTTTATGGTTATCAGGTAAATATTCAGTAATATTATACCTCAAATTCAAATTGTCCAATCAAAAAACAACATTTGTACCACGTGACAATGTGATTGTTTTCGGTATTTCACTCAAATTCATGATTTCACAATGTAGCGTGAGATAATATAATATCCCACGGCAGATTCACACGACGCTCTGAAACAATATGGCGTTCGCGAGCTGCTGTTTGTAATTTCATACAGAAGATTTTAGTATTGATTTAAACCAAAGATTTTCAAGACGTATGTTACCTTCAAGGATCCAAAAGATAAATGCTCAAATATTTTAAAAAGAAAACTCAGGCGTACATAAGAAATTAAAAATTGTATTCGCTTCAAGTTTTAAAGTTTATTGTGAACTTGATCTTGGTGGGTTCTTTAACTTTCGGTATTCAACTCCTAAGCTTAAAACTTGTGCTCCCATTAAGCTTTGGGCGCTTAGAGTTTAAGGTTAAGGTTTAGAGTTTAAGGTTCGCAAAGGACAACCTTATTTGAATTGACTGTATATGAATTTAGAATGAACTTAAGATTTTGATGGATTCATCTACAAGGGGAAGGGATGTGGTGAGTTTAACGAAATGAGTCAAGAAAAACCTGTCGTTTCCACAGTTTCCACATATCACTTTCACTGCTGCCAAGTCTCCAGAGTCCAAAAACTCTAACGTTTTCGCACGCAATCGCATATTTCGGCTGATTTCCCCCTGTTGAAAGATGAAACAGCCTTTTGATGTTCCTTTAAGCGAGTGCCAAATTGGCACTTAGAATGACCCAGATACTCTTTCCCACAGTCACCGCACGGTATAGTGTATACAGTGTGTGTTTTCTGGTTGATTGATATGGACAGGATTTGGGAAAATATGGCCCCGAGGAGAGCATTATATAGACTGCAGTGTCGAGTGTTGGGTCATGAAGCATTCGATAAAAAAGGGAAACATGACTGATATTAACCTTGTTACCGTGAACTCACAAACTTTAACAAATATATATATTTTCTATATATTTTTATCTTGCCCTTCAGTAATGATATTTTCTATCTGCTCTAGTCCATCAGTAATGATCTGGATGATAACAGGAGCAGTGTACTACATTACAAACTCGTATGCTGTTGTTCCATACCTTGGTATTCTTCTTATGGCCTTGTTGCTCATATATATCGCCATATGTATGTTTACGCTCCCTGACGTGCATCGTGCCTTTGCTAAAGCTGGTTCCTATGTGCTGGCAGTTACCATATTTATCCTTACCCTGCTCTCATTGGTTCACGTATGTCGTAACCCTCGCCTGACGTTAGATACCAATGATCCACCTCATGATCTTGATAAACATATGGAGATCAGTGTGTCGATGGTTTATTTCATTATATATGCAGGAGTTTTTGTTGGAACCGCTCTTGTTTATCCAAAAGAGTTTTTATGTAATTTGCAATCATTGTGGTATCTGTTGTGTTTGCCTGGATTTAATATTTTCCTAATTACCTATACTGTGGTCAATATTACCAAGACTAATGAAGGTATGTTTGAAGCATATAATTTATTTTAGTTTTGTTTGAAACATATAGGCATAGGCGTACGAGATAGGGATCCAGGAGGCCCCCCCCCCAAAAAAAAAAAAACAACAAACAAACAAAAACAAACAACTTGGGAAAACCATGGAAATTCGAGAAAT